CCGGCCTCCTCTACCTTCCTCGCATCTTTTGTTTTGTGCCATGCGAAAAGGCGAATTTTGCTTCAGTTTTCTCCTCCCAAGATATGATAATGTTCCAGTGTCGGATCTAGGATCACAGCATCTTTCGGAGTATGAAAACAAGTCAGGTATAGGGTCTCCCCCAAAATTTGAAATATAGATTCGCGCAGGACATGTATTTGCCGGCACTTTTGAGTACATGTACAGCCCTCAATTCGCTAACGACAATTCTCTTTTTTAACTTCGCATCCAACATAATCCCCACTGTTGTTTGTTTTGCATCGGCCAAAGCCACGAAATCAAAATACAAATGGAATAAAAATACACAACATGATAGGGTAACTTGCTGTTGCTAGGTCAATCCGCACTTCACCTCTCATAAATCAGAAAACCTGACAATACCCATGTATGGAAATATCAGCTAGTATCGCGTCGGCTTTCCCACACCATAGATTAATAAGCAGCCCGCCAGCTATAATTGCTCTGAAAACCCCTGAGAAAAACATAAATAAAGTGCGTTTTTCGTCACCGGTTTTTTACTTGTTAGTCCACCACAAATCTCAGACTGTTAGGTTTGTCCGCGCAAATCTGGTTGTCTCGGACAACCGGACAACGCTTATTTTCGAGAGCACTGATAAATAATACCATCATCACTATTATCCAATCACTCCGCCTGGCACATCATCTCTAATCCTCTGAACCCCACCTAACCCTAACCATATCAAATATTACCAGCAGCTTCATCTCCCTCGTGCGCAAACCCGGACCGGCGGCCCGTGCCCGTTTTCTGGACAACCCCCCCTGTCTTCAATCGTTGCGCCCTTAAATTACCTCCCCCCGATTAAAATCCACCACAAATAAAAAGCTCATGGACGCGCGGAATGGGATCGCCGAAGATTTCCGCATTCACCAGAGCGCGGCACAGCGTTGTATTTCTTAACCGTCCCTAAACACTACTATGCACTGCAGACTTCCACACAATCGTAATACCAGCAACAGCAACCATGACCAAACCCAACACTCAACTGACACATGCTGACTCGGCTATCTTATATATACAATACCGCCCAAATCCGTCTATGGTGTAGTGCGATTTTACCGCATTAATAACGTGACGCGTAAAAAAACACACCCCGCCTGACCCCCTCAGTTTCCTCTCCCCCTGCCCGTCCCCTCCCCCTGTTCAATTTTATCCTGGGACACCCCGCCAGGTACGTTCGTATAACCAGGACCAGGTTACGTTACGGCATAGCCTGGCCTGGGGGACATAGATCCTATAGCCGTTCACTACGGACATGGCCCGAGCCTAATTAGGCCCGTGCTAGATGCTCGAGCCGAGCGTTCACCGACGTTTTTCTGGTCCGAGCACTAATTAGGCCCGTCGCCAGATTTGTCCAATCGAAAACGTCGACCAGGCAAGCCATAATTTAGCACCCAGCTTTCGCGAGCGGTAAAGAATCGACCTTGAGCGTAGTGCGCAAGTGTCGAACGTTGTACTTCCCACGAAAATAAAGTCCAAAACATCTAATAAAATTCGAACACACAAAAATTGATCAGATCACGTTCAAGATTAGATCAATTGCAACTCGGAATGGAAGAACACTCCTGAACCGTACATACTCGCCAAAGCTAATCTGTGAGAATTTGTCGCAAATAAAATTTACGCCAGTGCTGAGTACGGTAGCCGTCGTTCGCTGAAGCCCCTTTCTGGCGTTAGGGTTAGGGTTAGGTTCAGGGTTAACGGTTAGGGTTCATAGCTCATCCTAAACCTTCAAATCGTTAATCTCATTTCGCAAGCGTTATTTCGAATCTGCGCCACCGCCGCCATCTTTGTCCTCGTTTAAGTATGAACAGCGAATGGACTCCGACCCCGTACCCGAGCACATAAGATAACGGCTACCGTATCCGTAGCCCACTGCCTTCTCAAAATTATTCTGAATTCTGAATTGACAAGACAAACAGTCAGTAATTTACTGCGTCCGTCACGCTGGCATTTCTTCCGACTCAAACCGGCCCGACCAAATTACCATTGCTCGAGCCAAACCATGACGCGTGTCACTGTGAAGCGACATAATGTCTATGCCAGCCAAGCATAGTTCAGCTCGTCATACCCCCCCCCCCCCCGAATAGTTGAAATCAAATACTCCTACCACGCAGTTGAGGCCGATTAACTTGCGCCAAATCTTTCGCCCCCTGGACTTCTTCATCATAAACTCTCCGTGTAAGCTCCATCGAAGCGAGTAAAAACTCTCTACTTGTATTATCGTTGCTCAACACCATTAATACATATTCATAGATTCTCGTTGCGCCATGTCCCGTCAAATATTCTGTTACAATCGGTACTGACAATCGTAGGGTGTATCATTCCCGAGCAAATCGGGCGCCATCGGGGGCGAAAATATGAATTATAACTTTTAGAACAACTAGAGGTTTAATTAAATAGAATTCTTATTATTTTACACGACATAAAACTAATATTTTAGGACTATTTATCCACAAATAAATAATGTTACAGGCCATTTTACGACCAATCGAAATAACCCCCACAACCGTAAATATTGCGCAATTTTGATCACATAACAAGTATCTTCTTTCTTGTGTTGAATGGATTCATCCTGACCACTACGCTTTCGTTGGGCCTTTATCATGGCGATAATATCTATTCCAAATTGACGTAGCCTATAAGGTGATAATAGGCAGTGCAATATGATCAAGTTGATGGAACAAATTGCAAGGAATAATGCAGGACGTCTGAAAAGTCAGATTCACTTCACCGAAATAAGACTCGTAATTCTATGTCCCCTGACCTCCTGTGCACCATGCTCATTAGCTATTTCTGACCTAACCCAAACCCTAATCCTCAATAACTCATACTAATAATACTCTTATATATAATAGTCAGAACATAGCTAAAACCGACCGGTCAACAGTCAGGGGACATAGCACCTTACTGCGAAAGTAAGGCTGAGAGGGTCTATGTCCCCCGGGGTACTGCCGGAACATACCCTGGGTACGGTCCGGTATACCGGAACGTACCCTGGTACTATATTATATGCCGGACCGTACCTCGCCTACTCCACTAACGAGTCTAGGGAGTCGCCTACCCCTACTCCCTAACCCTAACCCGAACCCGAACCCTAACCCGAACCCTAACCATAACCCTAACCATATCAAATAGTGACCAGGGTACGTTCCGGCAGGACCCTGGGGGACATAGACCCTATGAGCGAAAGTAAGTCACTAAGTTACTAAATAATGTTAATCCAGGATAACTGTAACAGCTAATGATTAAACTAGTTAAAACCATCTAATATTAATAATATAAATGATACCGGGGTAATCCATAAATGAACCTGCAACTGTTTAATAGTGATAATCTATCATTGAGAATAACAAAACAGTTTCTTTTCTTAGACATTTCTTGCAGAGGCAGCTGCGGACAATGGCAAACAGTTGGAGAAGAAGGGCCAGCTGACTCTGAGAATTATGAGAGTATGTGTAGATAAACTTGGACAGCTGGATGCAAAAGCCGATACCGTAAGTGACTACATGCTACGAACCACAGATGTCCTGCAGTATCAGGATTAGTGACGAATAAAGATTTAATATGTTCCCGTGTAAGCTCCATGATAAACTGAGTAAAAAGTCTCTACTGTATTAGTATTACTCTCATTAATCTATATGACCCCCATACTATACATATCCGTAGTATTCCATACCCACATACATATATGTACACATACGTGTCCCTAGTACTTAGGATTGTGGCCAGCAGTAGTAATCTGCAGAGATTGAGTCAGTGAATAAATGATAGCTTTTCTCTGGGTACGCCAAATATTCCAAAATCTCACAGCAATGCTCGGATGCAGCACAGATGAGCCGATAACGAAAACCTTAGCTTTCCCTGCTTAACCTAACCTTTTTATGTTGCGCATGCGTTTCCTTCTACAGCGGGAGTTCACTGAACTGTTCTGCACTATCAGAGACTGCTATGGTGTCGTGCATGCCGCGCACGCAGCAGGCGCCTTTCGCATGCTAACGTCGCTCGTACTGGAGCGAATTCTGGGCTACCTACTGGCCAGCGTGCTGAAACACACACAGGTGGGTGCAACGTAGCCGACACGGACGCACACACGCCTGTATTGGTGCGCCAACTAATGTGACGTCTGAGTGTTTGGATTTAAGGGGTCAACGGTGTTGGCATGTGTTTGGGTATTTTTTGGTTCAGGAGTAATCTTGATGTGCACTATGCAAATTTTGGAGGTAATACACTTCATTGTTTTATGATTCATATATAAGGTTCGTATATACCTGTGATACACACACACTGCATTTATTTACTTTCTACATATTTTAATATGCGCCGTGCCCAATTACGATTGATTTTGATTGTTTATCCAGGATGGACGTGCCTTCAAGGTTGTTGATTGGTTGCTGACGGAGCTGTCATGGCGTGACAATGATCGCTCCCTGCGTGAGTACGTCGTCTGCGCGAACAACGCATACGCCGTTCTCTGGAACACCGCAGCGCAGGTGAGTCATGCTCCACCCGACCACCAGGTGGGTGGCGTAGGTTTTAGTGTCTCACTCCAAGTCGATGCTTTGCAGAGATCTATTTATTATCCCACAACCTCGTGCTGCCTACGTAGTAGTACGCCTTTGTAGTAAAGTCAAAAGAGATGGACATACATCAATAATATTGAAAAATGTCGGTGTGTGTGTGTGTGTGTCGGTGTGTGTGCAAAAATGAATAGGTAGGGTTTGGTCTTCAGACGTGAGTTTTCTTGCCACTAACGTGATGACGAATATATTGACCTAAAAGCCCGTGTAAATATTGTACAAAACCGCACCCCAAATATGTTTCTGCACTCCCACATATACTCCTCTCCTGGCTAATACCTGCACTACTAATAAACGGACTGCACGTACCCCGCGTCGGCCGCGATCAACCTGCATCGTCAGCAGCAACAAGAACCACACTGCCTCCGCCTCCAACAAACTCAGATCGGACGACACGCGCCGCGCTTCGCTCAGCCTTTCGTCTCCCCAATGGCGACACACGTCCGCCACCGCCGCGCTACCGCGTGCAGCAAGTCGCGTCGCGCGCACCGAGTCCCGCGCCTGTCGCCGACCATCGGACGTCGATCGTCGTCTTTGCCGTGAGAGGCTCGACGCGTCGGCGATGCTCACTGACGAGGTCCGACGATAGCTGGCCGACCGACCGCGTAATGCCCGCCACGCGCCGTCCCGTCCCGCCGTGCCCGCGGCATCGCGCGAAGCACGCCGCCGCAAGCCTCTCTCGCATCGCTCTCGCACTCGCCTCGTCTCGATCCGTACTCGCGTCGAACGAGGTTACAGTCCTGACTGTCCCTCTCCGCGGCGACGAGTCGCAGCTCCCCTCTCCAGTGGCAGACGACAAGCAGGCCGTACGAGTCAGCGCTGCAGCAGGTGCACCCTGGCGAGCGCTCGGACGTGCGGCCGCCCCTGCATGTCGCGTCGACGTCGCTGAGGTCGCGCACGTCCGCCTCGACGTTACACGCGATTGTTTGCGATGCACGGCAATCGCACCACGCCTGCCTGGCTCCCTCTCAAAGCGTGGCGAGGCGCTTCGACTGCACTCCTGTGCGCGCGCCGCCGGCTGCCCTGGCTTCGCGGTGCCGCGCTCTAGATGGCTACGACCTCGGCACTGGTGGCGACGCGGCAAACAGCGTGTCGGACAGCTGGAAGCGCATGCGGCCATTCGCGACACGCCGCGAGAAAACCGACGCGAACTGGCTTCCAGCTACAACGGCGAAAATTCACGCACGATTGATAGTTCTCCGTCTATCATCATCCTTTCAAGGCAGGTTCTCCCCAGGAGAAATCAAACAGAGGGAGAGGGAAGGAAGGGGGGAGGGAAACTAGGGGAGGGAGGGGGAAACTAGGGGGGTCCCGGGGCGGTATTTACCGTAACTAAATAATGCGTAAAATCGCCCAACCACACCATAGACTGTATTCTGGTTCTGAATATAAGATACCCGACGTGTAAGCAGTTATTACAGAGTTAACTGGGCATTAGTCAGGTTAACTGTGTACTCTCTGCATCGCATCGTGACGTAAAAAACACGCGTCGTGTGTCCTGGCAAAACGTAAACGCAATTCTTGACGGTCGATTCCCGCGCTGCAAACTTTCATTGTGGTGGAATTTAAACGGGCCGGAGGTAATTCAAACGGGCGAACGACAACAGGGAGTTCCCAAACGGGCGCCGCGCCCCTTTGCGTAACGTAGGGAAGCCCTGAAAGATACATTACTCTAGGTTCTTGAACTAATTATCGTCAATTAAAGCATCCTTTTTCATTTTTTATTGATTTGTTTGTTTATTTACTGTCCGTTTATTATTAACGTTTATATA